TTAGTTTGTTTAGCAATCGACAATATTTGTTATATTCGTTGTAAATTCGAATTTTACATCAAATTTATATATTTCATATAATTAATTAAAATTTATAAAAAAAACTGTACATACACTTGAACTTTTTCAAATCCTGTTTTTCTCGTAGTTACTGTTACCATCTTAGAGGTTTTCTCACTAGCTTTTTTTTCGGTATAGCGGGAAAAAAATAATTAATTTAGAGGCTAGCGATATTTCTAGCGCTTTAAATTTTTGAATAATAAATATGTAAAATTGACACAAACATTATTACATAATAAACTTTTTATGGAGAATTAAAAAATGAACATTTTTTGTTTTTAAAATATTTCAAAATTTTTAATGGTTTCGCAGATACACGCAGTATTATTTCATATGGTTCTCATAGGGTGGGTGCCTAACTAAACATTGGGCTCTCTCAACTCTATCTAGTTTACAAAATTACAATCGCAGCAAAATCGCAACTCGCAACTATAGTAATACTGGTTGCCTAAATTGAAACTCGCAGATACCGTATGACTATGAAATGAAGATCGCTGTCATTTTATATGTAAAATTATATGGACTACATGGAGAATGTCATCGATGTTCATTTTCCAGCCAGCTGGGCGCCGTTTTTTTTTGATTATACGGTGGAAGAAATCGCAGCAGAAAAGAAAAAAAAAATAAAAAGAAAAGATAGAAGAAAATCAAATTGAAATAATAATAAATGTACCTACGTATTAAAGCCGTTTGACAAATATTCTCTCTGCATTGTTTGTTTACGGTTCCCTCGGCCCTGGACCCACAGACATAATTTCTAGAAGAGCGAACATAAAACCTGTCGCTTTTCAATATTCGTTACCTACGTGAGCGTATGTCATTACCGGTACTTACTTCCGTGACTCGGCAAATATAAGAAGTGGCTTTTTTAATTCGAGGTGGAAGCGACCTACCGACAGGCACCAGGTTCGAATTACTCCTGGGTGGTCTAAGTTCCGTCTGAAATTTCATATACGGCGAGTAAACAAATCCACCCCTTGTATTAGGTTTTAACAGGGAGTTTTCGCCATGATTTTTAAAAATACCGTAAACGATAATATTTCCAAAATACTTACTGATTATTATTGACGAAGAACCATTAAATTATTTTCAAGAACAAATAAAACGATCCTAACATCTCTCCGCTCCATCTGAAAGCGCTGTTAGGCCACACGCTATCCCACGTGAGCCGACGTGTGATAGAGTGTACACATGAGATCTGGGACAGACGAATCGCCCATCACACGTGTGATAGCGTGGGATGGCGTGGCGAAGGGGTGGCCTGAGCCCTAGTGTGTACGCAACGTATGTAATTAAATGGAAAAACATACGCACAGATCTTCATGTCATGGGGTGGCATGGCGTAGCGTGGCGTGTGGTCTAATGGGGTCCAGGCTATAGTTTCTGTTGGATTAACGTAGCAGTGTTTACAAAAATAACTATTTTATTTTGTAGGTTTTCTTGCAGTAGCGAAATACCCATATAGGTTTTTTTGGAGAGATGAATCCGCCACATAGATATAGACATTTTTTACAACGATGTGTTCTAATAACCGCCAACTATCTACAGGGTCCGGCAATAGTGTCGGGCATCTGTAGCTCCCAGAATAAAAAACTTGGGAATTTTGGTTAAGTGCAAACCTAATGATGTGCCTAAAGTATGTACTAGGATGTATTTCAGGAAAATATTTTAACTTCTACCCGGTGGCTCAAAAAAGTGTGAGTGGATCGGGATGATTTTTTAAATGGAATACCCCCTATATTATTGAATTTTTAGTTTTCTTTCAGATCACTTTACATAATCCTAAAGTATGAGTAAATATATTTCAATAGTTTTAGAGTTTTTAATAAATATATAAAAAATATATATTTCTCAGCCTATCTAGAAAATATATTAAAAATACAAGATCTGTCAACTAAAAGAAATATATTATAAACAATTATTGCAGAGTTCTGTAAGGCCATGCCATTTTCTTCCAATTAAATCTACTAGAAGGCTATACATTTATATCAGGAAAATAAAACCCGTAACACCTGTTGTTAAAGTATCACATTTTCCGATAACTATCATTACCCTTTCCGTAGCATTGAACTAAATAAATTTTGTGCTTCTTTAACATTCTAAAACAACAAAAAATATTACGTTAATTAAAATTCTATCAATAACAATCTATCAAAGAATGAAAACGAAGTTATATTACCATAGAAACGCCTTTTGATTTTTGGGACTTTTGATTTTTAGGAAAAAAATAAATGTTTTTTATTTTCTCTAAAACGGTATCGAAATTTGGAAAAGTATAAACGGAATTAACTATTATAGAACAAGCAAAATTTTTTATAAAGAATGCATTTTTATCAAAATGTCAATAATAAAAAAGTTTTTCCCCATGTAAAGACAATCCAGGGACATATTGTATATTAGGCATTTACTTTAGATGGCCTGTACTTACTTTGCTATAAATATCGTAATCTTAAATCATACAGGGTGTTCTAAGCCAAACATTGAGCTTGACATTAATAAATAAAGCCTGATTTATTTTTTAATATCTCTGAAACTATCAAAACATTAAAACATATCTTAGGATTATGTAAAGCGATCAGAAAGGAAGCCAAAAATGCAATAATATACAAGGTGTCTGGTTTAAAAAAATCATCCCTACCCACTGACACTTTTTTAAACCGCCCTGTAGAGGTTAAATTATTTCCCTGAAATGCATCCTAATACATACTTTAAGTTTGCATGTTAGGAGCTACAGATGCCCGACGCACTATTGTCAGACCCTGTATAATTCATGATACTGATACGAATAGAAAATATATCTTTTCTGTTCAGTTTTATGCAATATAGACAGATGTAAACATATACTGAAAGATCATCTCACTGCTTCCGTCAGTGAAGTCAGTGTGCAGTAAAGAAAAGAAGTCATGAAATCCATCTTTCTCGAGAAAACGATGATTGGATTACGTTCTTCTTTATTAGGTAACAGAACTTGTGTGTGTGCGGTAATATATCTAAGAAAAAGAAATTAAAACATTAACCACAGATATAACATTACAAACCAGTAAACTTAATATTAGTACACGATGCGAAGGAAGCGGTTTTATTAAGTTAAGAATTTTTTGTATACAATAAGTAGTTACTGAATGATATTTAAACCGACACGACATGTACACGTAGATCGTATTATTGGTATTTAGAAAAGGTATTTACCAGGAGGATATGCCATGTAGAATAGATAATATTAAAGCGTCTACTTATTATAACGATCTGAACAAATCTAATGTGAATATAATGATAAACTGTCGTGGCTGGTCCGGAAATAACATTTCCTGCATGCTACTTTATCTCGACAGTTACGTCTATCATAGATTAGTTCAATCTGGGCTTTGAAATGCGTTTTCAATTGTCCATGTTAACAACATATGAATGGGGTATAAATTACGTAGATTTTGTACTGACGCACAGTGTGGTAATACACGTGGAAAAGTGGACAAAATCAGATTATTTATTCATAATTTTATAGAATTTTGTATGCTTTGACATCTGCAATTCACTTAAAATTTTGAATCGACCTTTTAGCTTCATTCAAAACCTCGCAATTAGTGGAATAAATTAGTGGTTTTAATTACACTTTACATTTTTAGTTTATGATCATTCACAATGTTTAAAATACACAATTAAAATTAATAGAATATCCTAGCGCTTGCGTCAGTCAGTTATTGAAACCACTAATTGCGAGGTTCTGAATAAAGTTTTACTCTTTATACTTTTTTATTTAATTTACTACTGTTAAAATATTTAGAATCAGAGTTACAGAATTTTGATTCATTAGATATATTTGTTACCTATAATATTTTATTTCATAATATTTTTAAAACCAGAATATGTCATCAGCTTTGCCGATTTTTTGCTTAAATTTTTCGCTGTACTTAAACTGCCGTTAAACGGTAGCCTACTGAAATGCTGTTAATAGATCTGACGTCGTTGATGTGACGCACTTGACGGCTTTTTAATGCTTTGGTTAAAATGCCGTCGAGCGGTCGCGTACTAAAATGCCGTTAATCAATTTGTGTTCCGTTTTCCGTTGCCTTTTTGGTATGTTTTTTCGTCGCGTTTGCATTATTATTGTAGTAATAATTTGTGCTAAGTGCTATAAGTTGATTTTAATTAAGGTGTACATCTGGATATTATCGGTTCAGGATGGAGTAAGTGTTTCAGTTAGTTTTCTGATTGTTAATTTATCTATAAACATTTGTAGGTTAGTTAAGTACCTAATTATTTTTCATGACTGAAATTAGCATGCTGAAAATGGGGGATAGGTTCAGCTCATTCGCTGACGCAAAGAAAACGATTGAGGAACTTGGTGAAAATACGTACACAACATTTTGGAAACGAGATGCCCGTACGATTGCAAGCAGTAAAATTGTGAGACCAGTAGAAAGTTCTTTGATTTATTATCAACTTCTATATGCATGTAATCACGGTGGAAAGAAGTTTAAGGGCGGTGGGAAAAAAATTCGACAGTCTTGGACATTTAAAGAAGATTGCCCAGTACATGTAAGATTCAAAGCATCGTCTGATGGAAAAGCACTCGAGGTAACATCGGTTCAAATGAAGCACAATCATGTAACTTCGAAGGTAAGTTTACAAATTAGTTGACATATAGTATGCTTTTAGAATTCTTGCTTGAACAGTATTTTATTCATAAAAGATATATTTTGTAGGTTCTACATGCGCATAACCCTAGCCAAAGAAAACTTTCCAGTAACATGAAGGAAAGTGTCAAGGATTATTTGAATATGAAGGCCAATAAAAAATGATACAGCAAAAAGTTCAAGAAAGTACTGGTAAAATTGTTACTTTACAAGATTTAACAAATATGAAGATATCCGATCAATCAAGAAAAGAAAACTTAGATGGCTGCTTAAATATACTTAAAGCTAATTACTTTTTTTGAAAAACAAAATGTAATCCTGAATTGCTTCGTTAAGGATCGTAACATCGTTAGAGACATCACAAATGGGAATTTTCTTGAAACTGTAGACCTTAAAATGCTCCCCGAAGAAATATCACATGCCGTTCCTGATGAGGCTGTTGATATCCACATGATAAGGTAAGTCTAGCGATACCTAATAATTACCAAATTAATAACTAATAATGTAAATTACGATTTTTAGAAGTTTTTGCACCGAGAAAGCCTTTGAAAGAATAACCAATCTAGTTGAGCAGAAATAACCAATCTAGTTAACCAATCAGTTGAGCAGAAACGACTTCAACAAAGTTGGTTGTGTTCTGTGTGCAGTGAAGGCACGCATAAAAATCATATGTCACTTTGTTGCAGTAGATGCCTTCTATGGAGACATATCCGTTGTGCAGGATTGACTAAGCGACCTAAATCAAAACTGTAGTTTTGCAGAGAATGCTATCTGTAGCATTATTATTTTTAAATTGACGTAGTATTATTTTTAAGTTGTCAGTTTATAATTTGCAATAAAAACCTGAAAACCAATGCCATATATTACATTTTATCGCAAATACATTTAACCTACAACGGCAACATATACGTCTACCTACATATACACCGTTCCAAGTTAATTTTATTCAGAATAAGCCATGACGGATTTTGGACAACGTTACATTACAAATTATTAAGTATTAATCAGTAGCCTACTTTGCATTAACGATTAACGGCATTTTAGTACGCGACCGTTCGACGGCATTTTAACCAAAGCATTAAAAAGCCGTCAAGTGCGTCACATCCACGGTGTCATACCTATTAACGGCATTTCAGTAGGCTACCGTTTAACGGTAGTTTAAGTACAGCCTAAATTTTTTTGCCGATTCCAATCCTTTATTTTTGAACAGTTTAAAATTCTGGTGAGTTTATGAAATCATCTTCTTATGAATGTTTATGTTTAGCACAATTGAGAATTGCTCATTGTCATATATTCCTTATACCTTGAAAGAGTAACAAAGATCCATGTAGAATGCGTAGGAGGGGGGTTAATCACCGCGACCTCACAGATGTGAATTGTGTGTTCCCCTTTCTTGAGTTATAACGAGTTATAACTTATCATACAGTCTCAGGGCTTTGACAATAGCCAGTATCTGAAACGGCTCCACAGAGGCCAGCTCTCCATTTTCTACATAAGCCGTACCAAAGTTTATAGCACGAACGGTTGTCGTCTCGGCTCCCTCAATGGTGAGGTGTGTTGGTGTTTCCCCATTCCTCCCCCCCCCCCCCTAGAACCTGAATTCGCCGTTGTTTCTCAGCTTAAATCTACTGAGGTGTTCGTTGAGGAGACAGTGTCATGTTAGAAACCCCGTCACAATCTGAAGGTTGCTCTTACTTAAATCAAGAATTTTTTTTTATTTTTCTCGGTCGTAAGTTCTGAGAAATGTTTTCGAGTGTCTTAGACCGGGTTGGAGGATTCCCATTCCAGGTTACGGATTACGGATGGAGTCTTCTATCAGGTTCTTGAGTTCCTTATACCTTATTGTAAATTAACATTCATTTACTTCATTGTTTCACTTCTTTGTGTATGTTTTAATGTTAGCTAAAACGTCCATTTAGAAGAAGTTTTCTCTATTCAATATACCACTCACCGCATTCACATTAATTTACATTCACATATTCAAGATACTTGGTAGAGGCACTCCTTGTTTGGTTTGGTTTTCAGTTTTGTTTTTGTTAAGTTAGGTTAGGTTCAGTTTTACTGTTATTCAATTTTCAATTTAGTTTTACGGCCACAGCTCGAGGACTATCCGGCCGGGTAATAGAATATCTATCCTTTTTTCTTGTTCAATCTAAGACAAGAGAAGCTCGTAAAAGCGTCCGACTCAAAGTCGTTTCTCTTGAATATTTGTATAGTTTTTCAATTTAACAAAAAAAAAATTCTTATATCAATCCGAAAGCTTCTCCCACGCTGGTAGCATCCGGCTACATAGGGCCTGGTTATCCCCGTGACAACGTGAAAAAAGGTTGTCATTAAAAATATTTTCAATCTGACCTTCTCTTCTCCCACGCTGGTAGCATCCGGCTACATAGGGCCGGGTTACCCCCGTGACAACGTGAAAAAAGATTTTCTTTAAATGTATTTCACAAAAATATGTTTCTGAATGAGACACGAACACAATTTAACACTTTTGCACCAAAAAATAATAGACTTTTATAAAACGATTACAATTGTATCTTCAGAATAACACCTTGGACTCCCGAACAATCAGCCATCAGACAACATACGATGCTGCCTCGACGACAGACCGAACGGAAGTCTTTTACTGTTATATTGTTTGTCTAGTTGCCTGATCTTCTTTCTTTCTTTCTTTCTTCTTACTTAATTGGTTTTACGGCCTAAGCTACCAGGACTATACGGCCAGGTGATAGAATATCTATCCTTTTTTTCTTCTACAATCTAACACAAGAGAAGCTCGTAAAAGCGTCCGACTCAAAGTCGTTTCTCTTGAATATTTGTATAGTTTTTCTTGGGTTACCCCCGTGACAAATGAAAAAAGATTGTCTTTTAAAAATATATACTCTCTGACGGCCTTTCTTCTCCCACGCTGGTAGCATCCGGCTACATAGGGCCTGGTTACCCCCGTGACAACGTGAAAAAAGCTCTTTCTGACGGCCTTTCTTCTCCCACGCTGGTAGCACCCGGCTACATAGGGCCTGGTTATCCCCGTGACAACGTGAAAAGGCGCTTCTATAAATATATTTTACAAAAATATGTATCTGAATGAAACACGTACACAATTTAACACTTTTTCACCAAAATATAATTGACTCTTATAAAACGATTACTATATCTTCAGAATGACAACATGGACTCCCGAACAATCAGCCATCAGACAACATACGATGCTGCCTCGACGACAGACCGAACGGAAGTCCCTAGTTGCCTGATCTTTAAAAGGATTCCATTATAGGTATTTTTATAAAAAATATATTTATAAAAAACGATGTAAGTTTAAAGGTACGGCAGAAGTATCAATTAGACAAGAAAAAGAAGAATAAAGAATGGATATAGAACAAAAGAAGAGCAAAAAGCAAACAACGACCAATGTTCTAAAACCGGGGCTATTCAGGCAACAAGTGAAGATAAGGAAGTTGAACTAAAGTCTGTCTAATATATATTATTATTTGTTGCTAAATAGTTGCTAACACAATGCTATTATTTAATAGTTTTCCGTATAACTTTTTTTATTTTGAATCTAACAAAACTATTTATTTTATTATTTATGCCAAAACCATATACCACAATACAAAAGTCCGTCTACTGTGATGGCCTCTCATAACCATCAATTTTTTACTAAACTTATGAACCTATTTTTTAAAAATCTCAAATTTTAAATATACCCTATCGGCAAACGAGTCTTGGGTCGATGTTTACCTGTCTAGGAGTGAATCATTATGGCTATCTAGTAAGCCGGAGATGCATTATTTATTAAGAAAGTATTTATTACATAACCACTTAATCCGACGTTAGATTTCATGTGTTTGTGAAATAATTGCTCTTTTTCTTTATTCTGTACGTCTTATTGTACTGAGCGTACTGACCGTTCTCTTCGTACTCTGGAAAATCAGTACTCAAGGGCAGAAATGCAACCCGGTATTGTTTTCTTGATGACAACAACAAACTACGCTGATTTTACCAGTATGAATCTTCCTTTCTTCAATTCATATTTTCTGGACGCACATTTTGCTGTATACTGTATGTATACAACTATATTGATCATATATCAACTATGCAGAACTTTGAATTATTTTAAGTTAAGGTTATTCCATAATAATATGTTCTTTTTTCGAAAATATTTTCCACATTAAGGCAGTTCAGTTTAATCAGAAGTGAAATTGCTTGTTTTAAGTAGAACACCCTCTATATTTTCTGATTTTTAAATTCAACTTTGTATTCTATAGTAAAACTTTATATACAATATTATACCGGGTGCGTCTCAAAAGCAGCTCACCCCTATAAGTTTTTTTATTTTTTAGATAAAAAAACAAGATTTGGGGTGTTAGTATACAACATAGATTAGGATTAATTCACATATTCAATTGTTTTTGTCACTTCCTGTTTCACCGGAAATGACTACAACTTTTGATTTTTAAATGGCACCCTGGGTACATGGTAGGTACTTTATTCGATAGAAAATGACACTCTGAGTAGAATGACATATTATATATCAACTTTTGACACTTATGATTTATTTGAAATTGTAATATGCGGTTCATAACGACAATTTGACTAGAAATACCAAGTGCGGGTATCAAATTATTCGTAAAAAATGCTTTTTCCAATAAACTAATGAGCCATTCTTCTTTGATTTGAAAAAATTGAGATATGATTAAAAATACGATTTGGACATCTTTTAACCTGCCAGGACATTATCAAATAAATTTTTCCAGGGCTCGTTAATTAAAAATGAATGTTTTTAATACAGTCATGGCACTCTAGATTAAAATTTAAAATACGATTTTTTAAAGCAAGAATGTCAAAAGTTGACATATTTATGATATGCCATTCTACTCAGAGTGTCATTTTCTATCAAATAAAGTAAAAAAAATACCGAGGGTGTTATTTAAATATCAAAAGTTGTAGTAATTTCCGGTGAAACAGGAATTGACCAAAAACAATTGAATACGTCAATCAATCCTAATTTAAGTATATCATATTCTAACATGCCAAATCTCGCATTTTTATCTGAAAAAATAAAATAGTTATAGGGGTGAGCCACTTTCGAGACGCACTTGGTATACTTAAGTTAGGCCGTATAACAAGTAACAAGTAACAAGGTATTCAATTTTAAAAAATCATCCGATTTGCTCTTGACTAATTTGAACTTGCAAAGAGAAGCGTTTAGGTTCTTGGATATTTAGAAAAACGTCGATTTTCTCCAATCTGTATGTATCTTGCCGGCTTTTTTGAGTTGAACAGTTCTTTTATTATTTTCAAGTAAGCAATATTCCTTTGGTCTTGGTCTTGCAGACTAATAAATGGTCTTGGTCGTTGGAAAAAAAAATTCCCAAGACCTGGGTCTATAGGGACCATAGCTGTAAGATCAAAACTATAGTCTCGCTTATCACTAACAACGGCAATTAACTGTTGAGTTTCCAAGAAGATCTACTTTGGTCTTGCCTGAAACAGAAGAAAAATGTTACAAAAAACGATATCTGTGGATAATAAGAACTGAATCTCAATTCTTTTAAATTTTATAAGATTCTGGTTCCCTCGAGCAGGTCACCGAAGCGAAGCAACGGAAACCCACAATATCCAATTACGATATATTTGCCGCCCCTAAAAAGCCATCTTAGTATAGTAATTCCTGTTTGGTGCTCGCGGTCCGAAGCAGATGTGCGGTTTTTGCGCCAGCGGCTTCAGGACCGACGACGACGGACCGCCGCAACCGACACGAAGAAATATTTTTATTGCGCGGCTCTAACAGTAACGCATAAGAGGAGAAAGAAACATAATTATTACGGACGTGCCTAACCGTAAAAATATAA